GCCTCCCTCTCTCTCTCCCTCTCTCTCTCCCTCTTTCTCTCCTCTCTCTCTCTCTCTCTCTCTCTCTCTCTATCGCTCTCTCCTCTATCTGGCTCTCTCTCTTCTCTCTCTCTCATCTATCTGCTCTCTTCTCTCTCTCTCGTCTCCTCTCTCTCTCTCTCTCTCGTTCTCTGTCTCCTCTCTCCCTCTATTTCTCCCTCTCTCTCCTCTCTCTCTCTCTCTCTCTCTTCTCTCTGCTCTTTCACACAGTCTACGCGTCTCCTTCTCCCCTCTCTCTGGTCTCAAGATCTCTTCTCCACCCTCTCTCACCCTCACTTTTATCTCAATGAATCTCTTTCTACACCGCCCCCCCCTCCCCCCCCCCCCCCCCCCCCCCCCCCCCCCCCTGCCCCTCTTCGGCTCGTCACAAGTATAGCAAGTATATATCAGTACCTTCTTGGAAATAGGTTTGTATTTTCGCTAGTCGATCTTCTTCCTCATAAGCCATGCCCTCGAAGCGTCCGACATCGTTGATGCAATGGTCTTCACATATCGCCTCCCAAAACTGTCGTAAAATACATCCCAATAGTAGATTTAACGCACATATACCTAGTCTTTGTTGGTAATACTGGGCCTACAAATGCACGCCGTGTGTTGTAAGAGCCACGTTTCAGTTTGTTACCATGCCACGGTACCTTTAGAATGTGATGCGTGATACCTTATGAGTATAAATGCGATTATCGCGTTACGCTGATTCCTACCGTATTTTTACGGGTAAATTAATATACCTGCTATATGTATATTGTACAATGCTTATTGTACAGATCGGGAGAGATCAATTGTACCGATCGTAAGGAGGTGAGGCCAAGAGAAAGATAAAGGAGAGAGAGAGAGCAGAAGAAGCGAATGTGGTGTCGAAGCAACTTTGCAAAGAGAGAGAGAGAGAGAGAGACGAGAGAGAGAAGAAGAGAGAGAGACACGAGAGAGGAAACCGAGCCGCAGCCGTGAGCAGAGAGATGGAGAGGAGCGAGAGGGGAGAGAGCGCGCAGTGAGAATGAGCAGAGAGAGGTACGAAGAGAGAGAGGAGACGAGAAGAGAAAGAGATGAGAGGAGGAAAGAACGAAACACGTACCCGAACCCTAACAATAAATATAATCCAACCATATATATAAGAACCATTTATTACAAAACACTATCTATGGTGGGTCCGGAACTCAAGTGGGGAAAAAAATTTCGCCGCCCGCCCGCCCTGTGCTGCGTGCACAAACAACATGAATAAGAGAGTTATTATTTTCTTATAAGAGAGTTATTACTCTCTTATTCATGTTGTTTGTGCACGCAGCACAGGGCGGGCGTGCGGTGTACTTGTGTGTTGCAGATGAGCATTTGACCGGCATTTACAGATGATTATAGGCGAAATAGAGTATAGAGAAACATTAAGACTTTCGTACATTTCGTGTTTATTTACCATTAATTTTTTTATTGAGACGTTCCAAGTGCCTGTGGCCAAGCCCGTGTGAAATGTGTAGTCATATACGATGTAGTGCCTTTACTAGGGACTGTACAGTACTACTGTTGCAGTACGGTACTACTACTGTAGTTCATATACGATGCAGTACTGAGCCGTCACCTGAGAAAGCCCCTATAGGTGCGGTGCGGGGGAATTTTATTCGCGACTCAGTTTAGTAATGATGACTAGGCGCAGCTCCCAGTCAACGTGCATATAGCGTAGGGGGTGGAGCGTGTGTTGCGTGGGTTTCAATGAAGACCACATGAAGATTTACATTCACGGGGGTGTATTTACGGGGTGTTTTCATTGGGCTGTAAATGAATCTACCGGAAATTTAATACTATTGCCCGCTCCCACCCTACAGAGGCTACGGCCCTGCGCAAGGTGCATAATCGCGCCAAATCTGTCACTCGCATGTGCTAACTTGAACCCCGCGTGACCTCTCTCTCTCTCCCGCCTGCAGGTTTAGTGACCAAGGCTTCACCGACCTCCACGATCTCAGCAGCACCCTCGTACCGCGCTCTCCTCTTAGACTGCTCACCTGCGGAAGCTGCCCGCTGAAGACGCTCGCCAAACGCGTCGACTTCACGCTAACCGAACTCGTCGAAAAAGTCTTCGCGCCAGACTACGCCTTCTCGGGCGCTGACGGACGTCGCGCCGGTGTGAACATCCAGAGCGCCGTCGCCTTTCGCGGGACGGTCGTCGAGGAAGCGCAGCGGGCCGTCCGCGTCGCCCGCGCCGACGACAGAGACCGCGTCGTGGCGTCCGTGTGCCCGTTCAAGCACCGCGGCGTCTTTCGCTCGGCGACGCGGCTGAGTAACGACACGGGGGTGACGTGCTTGCTAGCGAAGCTGCGGGAGCAGTATCAGCACAGCTGCGAGCTACGCACGCTCTACGGATGGTACGTCGACGAGGGAATGCCCGAGAGCGAGTTCGACGACGCGATGACGGCCCTCGATGACGTCATCGCCAAGTATAACGAGATCGAGGCGTCGCCGCCGCCGCCCCATGCGCGGCCCGATAGGGAGCCGCGCCAGACGACGTTTAAATCGCCAACGCCGCCGCCGTCGCTGTCGCCGCGTGATGCGCCGGCGTCGTCGTTAGGCGGGCTAACGGCGAAGCGACAGCCGATGTCGCCGCGTGGCGTGTCGCCGCGCCCTCCAGCGGCGAGAAAACCTCTCGTTAAAAAAACGTCGAAGCCGCTATCGTCATCGTCGTCGTCGTCGTCGTTGCAAGTGTTGGAAGCGCCCTCTGGCGAACAGAAACGGGGCAAGTCGCCGCGGCAAGGCAAAAAGCCGGTGGTTAAGGAAGTGAAATCAAAACCGACGACAAAAGGAACGAAATCTCAGCGCGGCAAATAAAAATGGCGGGAAGATGCGATGCCTGCGCATGCGCGGCTGTGCCAACCATTTCGATTGGTTGATGGTGATATATTATTATGGCAATATCAGGAGTAGATAATGACAAATTGCCATTATTCACCTTCTGGTAATATTGATTACTACACTGTTTAGTTTATGTGGTCATTCATGTAGGGCCTACGAATCGGCTGTTCGTTTCAATCCGGACATATTCATACGTTTGCTCGCGTGAAATGGAATACATACGCGATACGGTCAATATGGACGCTTATGAATTAAATATTACATTCATCGTGGGGTTTATGCACGGCTCCGTCTATATATCCATACTAACTACTTCTAGATAATCATGGACATTAATGTACCTGAGTTTATATTCTATCTGGTAGATATATGATAGATTATGTAACAAATATTGTAAAAACTGCGTCCATCGAAGCAGGAGTGCAGGAAAACCGTTCCTATTACCGTATAGGGGGCATACAACAGTAACCTTCCGCAAATTATTCACAAATTGCACTATTTAAGGGTAAGAATTAAGCTCATTACAGATACACACACGTGCGCGCGCACACACACACACACACACACACACACACACACACACACACACACACACACACACACACACACACGTATACACACACGCGCGCACACATGTATACACACACACGCGCGTACACACACACGCGCGCACACACGTATACACACACACGCGCGCACACACGTATATATTATATACACACACGCGCGCGCATACACGTATACACACGCGCGCACACACACGCATACACCCCCGCGCACACACATGTATACACACGCGCACACACACACACGTATACACACGCGCGCGCACACACGCGCGCACACACACGTATACACACGCGCGCGCACACACACACGTATACACACGCACGCACACACACGTATACACACGCGCACGCTAAAACAACATGCCTATAGTTTACAGATTCTACTATTTTTTATGTTGCTATCATTTCATAATCAGTCATTTAATCTATCAATTCACAATCTATTGACTAATATATTAGCAGGCCTAAATAATCACACATTTTGTGTCATTATTCACTCCTGATAATTATTCGCAATCGTAGTTATTATTTGAATTATTGTTAACTGATTAGTAATTTTTTCTCAGGGCCCTGAGACAGGGCTCCTACCCCTTCTCTAATACCATGAATCACTGTGAATATCTTACGTTTTCGCATAAATTGCCCGAAACTCGAATTAATAAGCCAAATTCACTTGTTCATGTTCGCTTAAAGATTTCCGAAACCGAGACCGTCATCGAGTTATACAACACGGTTCTATCGCTGCGCCACCTGACGGAGTTTTCCGACTTCACGGTGTGTCTGGACAACGAGTCGCTGTACGCTATCGCAATGCGAATGCTGGGCGGGGAAACGCCTTCCTTACAAGATCTCAATCAACTCACGAGCAACGTGCTGTCCGACACGACCTCCTACTTAAGGTAAGAAAACTTAATTTCAGAAAGAACTTAGAAGGCTTTGTTTTGGCTTGGAAGGCTTGGCTTTTTTAGAAGATAACTGTTGGCGTTATGTTTGCTTATCATCGCAACCAGATGCCAGCCAAGCTCACAGGCACTTGGAACGTCTCAATAAAAAACATTAATGGTAAATAAACACGAAATGTACCAAAGTCTTAATGTTTCTCTACTCTACTTCTAAATGCCGGTCAAATGCTCATCTGCAACACACAAGTAAACCGCACGCCCGCCCGCAAATTTTATTTTCCCACTTGAGTTCTCCATTCACTCGACTTCCTCGAAGCAACAATGTAAAATGAACATCAACTATCCATAAACCTAAACCTAAACCTGACCCTAACACGTACCCGAACCCTAACACTAACTATAATCCAACCATATATGTAAGAACCATTTATTACAAAACACTATCTATGGTGGGTCCGGAACTCAAGTGGGGAAAAAAATTTCATGTGTGCTGCGTGCACAAACAACATGAATAAGAGAGTTACTATTTTCTTATAAGAGAGTTATTACTCTCTTATTCATGTTGTTTGTGCACGCAGCACAGGGCGGGCGGGCGGTGTACTTGTGTGTTGCAGATGAGCATTTGACCGGCATTTACAGGTGATTATAGGCGAAATAGAGTAGAGAAACATTAATACTTTGGTACATTTCGTGTTTATTTAGACAGCAGAATCGTTGCGAAGACTTGCTGGGGAAAATAATTTTATCGGCTATAAGAATGTGATATCTAATAGTTACGCTTTCGCTCATTTTAATACTGAATTTCAGCGTTAGAAACATTGTAAAATCGGCTGATTTTATTGCTCGTAAAGTTCTATATTTCTCTAGCCTTTACTTAACTTATAATCTGATATTTAACTAGATATTTGCTGTCCATGTCTAACGAGTGTCGCGATGTATATAATGCCTTTCAGAGCTATTCTATCGGCTGACAACCTCCGCATCATCTTCTCTGACGTGCTCTGTGTGCTAGAAGTAAGCAGGTATGAACACAAGACCCGTCCTTCTATCTACGTCCTCTTCTCTATTGTATTCTTTCATGTATTTTCCATTATTATCATGTATGTATTTTACATGTGTTCATTGTGTTGTCTTCCAGTCTGTGATCTGTGTATTCTATTTTCTACTGGTTAATCGTGCATGGAAAAGTGATATCGTATTCGTCGACTGTCGCAGCAGAAACCCAGGATATAACCGCAAGCCTTAGATATAACTTAAATATATGATATAACGCCTTAGATATCGTCATTATTGCAAATACATTACCGATCCCGTGTAGACAACAAACAGCGTAAACGAAATACAAACGGTCGTGCAGTTTGCGCCTGTATAATGTTTGGTACATTTTATACAACGACTAAGATTGTGCAAAGATGTTAGATGGTATTTTTATACGGCAACTGGGATTCGCTCTCCTTTGGTAGGGAGTTGGTGGACTCGCTGGTGGACAGGGTGGAGGCGTGGACACCTCGACAGTGCATAGGCGACATTCTCGTCAAGTTTTGCACTAGGTGAGTTGATCGCGTTTCTGCTCCTGATGGCATGTAGCTTAAAATCTTTTTCTCATTCGCCAAGTAGGATTCGGCATGAAGCACTAATGTACGATCACTGAGTTGTGTATAATAGGTATTACTATATACGGTTCATTTACACTTTTGCCGTAGCATCCCCGCCACAATCCTTGTCGTATTCTACAGTACATTGGAATTGCTGTTCACATGGCTGGTCGAGTTGCCAGCCACGATAATATTATTCGGCCAAACTTACGCGCCTACAATATGCAAGGGATTGCCCTGAAGAGATGTGCATGGTAAAATTCTCTCTACAGTGTATACGATTCAAGATGCGAGCTAGCGCGGCTCGCGCCCTATTTTAAATATTTTATCGAATTTTATGGCGACCTCTACTAGCGCCCTACGT